CCCCCGCCCCGCCCTGGCGTGACACCCCCGCTCCCCCAGGTGGAACTTTCCTCGCAGGGCGTGAGACCATAGAGGCGAAAAAGGCAACACCAAAGGGGACCTCTTCGGGGGGGACGAAGGGACAGAGAACACCTTCCTCCAAAGATACCTGGAAGGATATCGAGCTCTGGCCCTCCAAGACTCAGATACGCGTTTTAAAAATGTCGTGGATGGCCGTGGTGTCGCGATTCTCTCCTCTGCCCCTGGAACCTGTCCCAAACCTGCCCGGGGCTCTCCCCGTCTACCTCCCCTAATGGTACGTTCCTCCCTGTTTACGCTCTTTGCGCGGCCGGCTTGGGTGGGGTTCTTCTGTTGCTCCAGTTTCGTACGCAAGTGGCGTAGAGCGACTTTGATAGACAGCCAGGCGCAGCCAATAGCGCGGCAGGATCTTTGACCGGTTAGCCAATGGCGCAGCGGACCGGCGGCCGGGGGGAGGCGGGGCGAGGCTCAGTCAGGGCAGGGAGGGGGAGCTGTGGAATGGCGGACGGCCGGGCTGGCCCGCCCTGGTGGTAACGAGCCGAGGGGGCCGGAGGGGACAGCTGCGGAGGGGGGTGAGTACGAGAGAGGCGAGCAGAGACTCCCCGGGCTTCCTAGGCCGCCTCTTCCCGGGGGAGAGAGGCGGAGGCGCTGGGGTGGGCCGCTAGGCCCTTGCCAAATAGTGAGCTATCGGGCTGAGCGGGGTACTGTTTCCTGCCACATAGTGAGTCCCGGGCTGGTGTGGGCCCTGGTGCCCCCGGGCTGGGAGGTTTGGGGCGGGCTTGGCCCCGGGCTGGGGACGGGGAAAAGGAATTGGCTTCATCCCTGGGCTGACACTTGCCCAGCCCCTCCCAGGGGCCATGGCTCAGTGCAGGGTGTGTGCCCTGGGCCGGGCTGGCCGGAGGGGCTGGGGTGTAGGGGGAGGGCTGGCCTGCCCGGGGGGGTGGACAGAGCCCTGCGTTGGGTTAAGGAAATGCCGGTCTGGCGGGCTCTCTCGAGGCTTCGCCGGTGTCTGCTGTCCTGGGGCCATTACGGAGGTCTGACTTAGTGAGAATGGTTTGGGGAAGCTGGGGAGAAGGGTGGGGGTGCTGCAGGGTCTCCTCTAAGGGAGAGGCAGTGCTGCTGTGCTGGGGGAGGGGGGTCCCTCCCTTCCCAGGCTGGCTGCAGCCTTTGTCGGGTTTGACATCAGTGCTTGTGCAAACGTGTGCATGTCTGTGTACAAAGTCTGTCTGTCTGGGTGTGAGCTGGCTGCCCGTGTTGGTGCAAGTTCTGGTGATTGCGCTCATGGAGCGTTGCTGTGAAAGCGACTTCTCCCTCCTGGCTGTCTTCCTGCCCCACAAGTGGGTGCGCCCTTCAGTGTGTCTGGCTATACTTTAAGGATGTGTGTAAGCCCCTTGACCATTAACTAGCCATATGAGCCCATAAAATCTAAAACTACTTGGGGTAAGTCTATGTGGGTGCTGTAGTGTGCTTTGGAAAATGTTTTCCCCAGTCTTAAATCCCTAGGTGCTCTCTGAAAAGAAGCTTTGGAGGGTGTAACAGGATATGGTCGGGTAGTTTGGTCAAATGCTCTGACCTGCTGGTGACCTCAGATGATATTTCTTCCAGAGAAGGAATAAGTTGTTAAGGAATGTCCTTGGGGTTGTACCTCACCAGCATTTAGGTTTGTGTTGCGGTTACTGCTTTGGGATACAAAGAGCCTATGTCCTTTGGAGAAAGGTAAGAGATTGCAGCTCCTCCCTGTTAGCTGTTATGTGACCTCAAGGACCTTCCCATGGTAGGATTTTTTTTCCTGCCAAAAGTTTCACATTTGACATTACTCTTTTACTTTCGTTAGTAGCAACAGCAGAATTGGGCACTTCTACATAGATTAGACCACTGGTGGGACTGCGTGGTGTGTAATGCCAGGAGTAGGCCTCTTCAGTAAGACACTAGAAAACACTGAAAGTCTAAGTTTTTCAGCACTGCAGATGTTGGTGGGCATAAAATTATATTAATAACAATAGAAAACTTTCATTAAGTACACCGGCTGCAGACAAGGTCATCATTGATGGAGCCCTCTGTAACCTTCACACTTGCATGTCCAGCCCCACAAAGACTTGTGAGGTGGAAAAGTTGAAAGTAAAAGATGTGAGAAGCCAGCAGGGTGTGCGTGTGTGTGCCTCCCTGTGACAAAGCTGATGCAAAATGTTACTTTATGGGAAGTACTAAAGTCAGTACGCTTGGTCACATGAGGAAGGGGAATAGTTATGTTTTCCACCCGTTTTAAACATCTGCAGAATCAGTTGCTACTAAATGCTGCAGAAATTTAAAATGCTGCGTTGCGACACTTTTCATTCTGATTTGCCCCTTATTGACCTTGAGTGGGTTTTTGTCATAGAAACCGATACAGAGTTTAATCCAAAACTTAGTTAAAAACAAACCAAAGCTAACATCTACCCACTGAAAACACAGACAGAATGTTGATAGAGTGACTTTGAAAATCCACTTGCGTTCACAGCCAAGGACAAGTTTTATCCAGGAAGTGGGGTGGAGCTGGCCAGGCACTCCAGTTCTGTGCATTTTTGTTGTTTGGGTTTGTTTTTTTTTTTTTTAACTATTGTGCTTGAAAACATGAAGTTTGAGTGAGTGAGCTTGATGCAGGCTTTAAAGACCCACCTAATGCTGATCATTGGTCAAGCTACAGTTGTCAATATTGTCCCTGGGTGGGTTGGTGATGGTGGGGGTCAAACCCAGGACTTGTGCCTTCCAAAGCATCGATTTCTGCTTGGTTAAAAGCCTTGTTCTGTTTGGGGTGAGGAGCAGGTTTGTCTCAGCCCAGCTGAGACAAGGTGAAGCCTTGCTGTACTTTGAGTTGTAAGAGGATAAACTTCCAGGATTGAACTGAATGCAAGCTTTTCCCTAAACTGCATATTTTGACTGCTTTCAGAAGGGAATGTGACTTTTTTTTTATCTGTCTGGTAACAAGTTCAAAAAGTAAATGCCCCAAATTCCATTTTTTTTATTTTAAAAAACCAAACCTTCTGATGGCTCATGCCTGTCAGACTCCTTCCTCTTCACAGCTGTGAAGATAAAGCCTTTCCAAGCTGTCTGCTGCTGATCAGGTTTTTCCAAGCCGCTGCATGGTGATGTTAGCAAGACCCCTGCTTCATTTTGCTGTTCCCACACCCCTGTTCCCAGCCCCGCAAAAAATCAGCTGTGCAGCAGTGTGATGCCACTGCCTGATCTCAGGCTGCAGGCTCACCCACTGTTCCTTGCTTTAGCTTCTGTCTGGTCTACATTCCTAACAAATCTTTCAAGCTCGGGTTTTACAAAACTATGCTGGGGGGTGGGTAGGAGGGTGCAGGCTAAGGCTGCAGGAAAAAAAAAAAGAGGGAAATCTGGTGTGTTTCTGGCTACTTTTTGTACAAGTCCTATTTGAAATGTGTTGTGAAGTGAGTGGCTTGCTGAAGAAGGGTAGAGGCTGGAACTGCAGCCCTCATGTCTTTAGAGATATCACTGCTGGAGTTTGAAGTAATGAGTTAATAGTAAAGTTCTTTTAAGCAGAGTATAAAACTGGTTTCCCTATGAATAATGTGACACACCGAACAGAAATGGTGTATTTTTAAGTTACAGCTCAGAAGGTATTTGTGAGCAGTGATTCATTAAAAAGAATACAACCTTTATGATAACTACCAACCCAGTTTCTCAGCATGCTTTGAATATATCTCATTCTTCAGGGCTGGTCTAGGAAAAGTTGATTTCATTCACAAAGCTTAGATAATCACATAGTGTGGGTGGAGGGGTTAAAACTTCAGTGATTGCCTCATATGCATATAGTTAGAGCAGCAAATCCATCTCCTGTTTTTTTTTTATTTTTTGTGGTGATAGAAGAACAAAGAAGGTTGTTAGGATTAATGTTTCAACAAAATCAGGTTGGTTTTCTTTGACAGACTGTAATAAGGAAGATTTCAACAAGTGTAAGACTCGGCTTTAATCCTTCCAGATAGGTTCTCTCTGTGGGCTTTCTGGACTCAAATGTTTAACTTTAAGGTTTCTGTTTTGTCTCTGCTAGGTTTGATGATAATACTTAGCCCTTGGTCATTCAGCTGAGCAAAATACATTGCTGCATGTGCTGCACGAGTCAGTCACAAACCAGGAAAAGGATTGAATAGCGATTGTGTTTGCATGTGTTGTGTATAAAGTTCCCGCTGTCCCCATACAGAATGGGACACCAGCACCCAGCAAAAACATGCACTGCCAAAAGCTGCTTCTGAGAGTTCAAGTAGCCAGAACAGGCCACTGTCTGACGGCTCAGTGCTGGGCTTGCTCCTTTATGTAGTTTCTAAAGTAATGCTGCGCAAAATGCACAGGAGGCAAACCAAAAGTGACACTTTCACTGTGCGGAAATCTAGGAAAGCAAAATGCAACTATTTTCCCAGCCTGTCTTGTGGTGTGTTACTGTTTTCAGCCACACTCTTGCTTCTAATAGGATCTGTAGTAAGAAATTGTGTATTTGAGTATTTATTCTCACTGTGCAAGGACAAATATTTGTGAGATTGGGCCCTTAGTTACCGCAGATTAACATTTATTTAAATATTTTAGGTATTTATAAACACTGGATTTAAAAAAAGGCATGTGGAAATGGCTTCTGGGTAATAAGCAAATGACTGCTCAGAACAGAACCACCCCGGTGACATTTACTTCCTTTGTATTTTTGCAACTCTGTGTAATAAAAAGACTGTGTGTTTTCTTTTTGAGAAGGGGGGGCTACTGGTGCTGCTGATCAGGCTTCACTGCAAAGGGAGTGCTTGCTAACAGGAGCTTCTACAGAAGGTTATCAGATTCAGGCCTGATTCTGATTTATATATAAGATTGGTTTCTCCATCTGAAGGTCTGCAGGATTTTTATTTTCCTGCCTGGGAGGCAGTAGGGGGGAGGTCCCCTCCCAGAAGAACTGAAACGTGAACTTCCATGTTATTTTGTTGAGCAAGCAGTACAGCAGCAGTGCAAAGCGTTAATCACATTCTCCATCCTGAGCTCGCCTTCACTGCAGTAATGGGCCTGGGAAATAGTTCCTCTAGATCCTACCCTAATTCTTGAAATCACAGTAAAGCTTTCTGGTATTATGTTGCTGCTGGAGAAGTGGTGGAGCACAGACATATCGCAAGTATGCATCTGCCAGGGGCTTTGATGAAGAAAATTTAAAGGACCAGGAATCTCAACTCGTCTCCCACAAATGCGGTCAGTGGCGACCTGCTCTGTTCCTTTGACAGCTTCCGTGTTGTCTCCTCTTACAGAGCAGTATCCCAGACCTGTTTTGGGGAGAAATGGTGGTTTAAAGGATGCTGTGATGCCAAGAGAGGAAGAAGGGAGATGCCTGTGAAGCAGTAGCAGTTAGCATTTGTTCTTAAGGACGTAAATTTCTGCATGGGAGGCTGTTGCTGGGTCACCGCTTTAGAGGAGCTGCTCTGAGATCACTAGTGACCTGTTGTCCTGGAGGTTCTGATTGTCCTGCATTACTGTTGAAAGTGGTGCACAGTTGAGAATGGGCCGAACAACATGCAAAGAGCTGTCCACTAAAAATAGTTTGTTC